AAAGTAAATCAGAGCTAAAAAAGTGTAAAAACGCAGGCAAATTTGCCTGTATTCTACTACAATCTAAGGGATACTAAAAAAAGAATTAAAAAAATACTATATGAACTTGTTTGTAAATAAATATTTGAAATAAAAAATTACTTCATATCATTTGCAACAATTATTACCACAATACTATTGTGTAATATAATAAAATATATGATAATCTTCATGATTAGAATTAGATTTAGGGTAAAAACAAGGTATAGCAATAGCCTATATCAAACTTTACAAAGAATTTTTTGTTAGAACACAAAAAACTATTTTATAAGTGAATTATTGAATTATGAGTATTTTTTTGTTTTTTAAATTGTTTTTTGATTCTTTATATTATATCTATTTCTGTGATCTGATTGGTTAATTATACTGCAGCAATCATCGCCACAGGTAACAAATAGCAAATCTCTTTAAAATATAAAAGAAAATTAGCCTCAATATTTTAATTAAATTTTTTAAAACTACTAAATTAATACTTAACTTTGCTAATAGTAAAAATGATAAAATATTATATCACTTTCAAGCTATTAATACTGTAATATGTATTTAGAAGAGTCAAATTATAAATATAATAAGCCAAATAATTATGAATTTGATGATAATAAGCCAGATGATAATGAGTTGAATAATGGTAAGCTAGATAATAAACTAAATAATAATAAACTAGATAATAAAATTGATAATAATAAACTAGATAATAAAATTGATAATAAATTAGAAGACTTTGATTCAAATTATAATAATATTGATATAAATAACTGTAAAGAAATGCAAAATAATAAAGTAATAGAAATTGATTAATATAATAATTAATAATAAAAAATTAAATAAATTATTAGTATAAAATTTACACTTATATTTATTCACTGTTTAAATACTTTAAAAATAATTTTTTAATGTTATTAACCACTTTTTTAGATTTTAACAAACTTAAATAATTTGTTAAGATAAAGCAATTAATTATTTTTTTCATGATTAACTTTTAATTAATAGAGTAACTACTTTACTTATAGTAAAAATTAGATATTTTTGTGATAGCTTATTATCTTAAATCTAGTTATCATATTTAATATATTACAAAATAATAAGATTACATAAAGTAGAAAGTATATTAGCAATATAAATAATCATTTCATTATGTGATTGTACTTCTATAAACTATAGTATACTGCTGATTGAAAATTGATTAAAACTTAAAATAAATCTTATTTTATTTTTAATTACATATAAAATTTTTATAATAAATTTAATTAACAATACTATAATCACTTGATTTAGTTAATTGATTAGTACAGTATAATCTCGATATAATGAAGCTCTGGAGCTGGAGATTTTCTTCGTTATATCAAATCTTTACTAGTAATTTCGCTATATCAGGGCTAATTTAAACACAAAAATTAGAAATAATCTTCATTATTGTTATATCGAAGTTCGTTATATCGAGGTTATACTGTATATTCTTCTAATATAAGTCATCAAATTTTTTTGATAACAATATAACGATTATTTTTTTTGCTAGTTTTTAATTTGTAAATTCTCAACAAACTATATACTAATTTAGATCACAATTTTTTTATTTAGCAACTACATATATAAATTTTATTTACATAATTTAATACCGTATAGAGTATCTATTAGTAGCAATTATAGTAAAAATATGTCAATGCATACTTTTAACAAGATTTTTTAAAAATAAACTATAAATTTTAAATCACTCTTTCTGGAGCAAATTAAAGAGTTCTGACTCATCACTTGGTAAAAAAATATGTTTATATATATGATATTTTAATTTATCCTACAAATATTTAATAGAATTGAGGTCAGGACTATATAAGGATTACAGAAGTTACACAATATAATTTTTGTCAAACCATTTTTTAGTAAATTTGAAAGTGTAAATTTTAGTATTATCATCTTGGAACACATAATTTTTTTGATCTACTATATTTATTAAATTGTTTAAATAGAGTATATACAAGTTTCAAGAATTTTTACATAGTCTTTCGAATTCATCTTGCTATAAACCCAAACTAAAGATTCAAAACCATATATACTAAAATACCTTCAAACCATTATGTCTAATCTTTTTGATCTAAATATTGAAACTAAATATTTAATATCATATTTTTCTTTTAGTTTCCTTCAAGTGTACTTATAACTATCCTTTCTAAACACTTCAAACCTTGATTCGTTGCTCTAAATAATATTTTTTCACCTTTTATTCTAATCTACTTTTACATCTACCCAATTCATATAAACTATACAAAACTTTCATCTATAAATAGTTTTTTTAAACCAACTTGATCATAAAACTCTTTATTATAGAGATATCATTGTATAGTTCATGTGAATACTTCTACAGAAGTTGCTTCAATAAATTTGTTTATCAAAATATTTAGTGTAATTTTTTTAACCTTTTTTAAAATGCAGGTTAGATATTAAACATTATGTTTAATTACTTTAGAAGGTTGTCTAAGACAAGATAAAGGTACAGCTTCCCCAACTTTTCTGTAGTATGTTATTATATTATTGATAGTATTTTTGGAAAGTTTTAGAATCTCTATAATTCTTATTTGCTTTACACTGGTTTTCTAAATACCAATAATTTGGTTGCATTGTTTGTCAGTAAGCTACTTCCTTTGTTTCATAGTAAAAAAAAAAAAAATTAAGGAAAAAAAAAATAAATACACTAGTGGATTCAAATAAAACTATAAAAAAAATTTTTGGGACAAGTATAGTAATTTTCAAAAAAAAAATTTTTTTGTCAACAATGAGTCATATGGATAATCATTATCAATTTTGAAAAATTCAGTGATTTATATTAGGGAAGTGTAAATATAAACCAAATGTCTAAAAAATTTATCAATTGTTGTGATTATGCTAAGGTGTTATATCTTAAAAAGTCTAGCCTCTATTCGTTAATTCATTAATGCATTGTAATTATTATTATATCAATAATGTTGCAATGCAAAATCTGATATGCAAACAAATATAGTATATAATAAGTGAATATGTACATATAATTGTTTCATTTCATATTAGCAAATAACTATATAAATTAGATATTTTATCAGAGTATATCTGGCCCAACTCCTTCTGTTCATGATTCTTTTTGGTGGCATTGAGTGTGTTATTTAAATGTTTTAAGTATGAAATTTTTATCCTAATCACCTAAAACCTTTGACAAATGATTTTATGATAGTAATTTAATTGCAACTTTCAGTAATCCGTGGATTTTAGATATTGCAATGTATTATAGTCAGCTAAAAAACTTTAAATCTAACTCTTACTGAGTATAATGCAATATTAGCGGGTCTTTAAGTTATTGATATACGAAAATTTATAGGTATGATACCACTTGCAAACTTCAGTAAATTAATTTGAACAATGCTATATAGAAACAGGCATATACTTCTAAATTTAATATTCTAATAAATATAACTTTAATTTATTTACTTTGGGTTTTTTTTTGAATTTAATAGTAGAAATATTTCGAAGTCGAATGAAAATAAAATATTTGGAACATGAGATCGCGGAATTGAAGTCAAATTAAATTTTTTAAAATAGAAGTGTTAAGTGGAATTGAGGTTGAAAAAAATAAAAATATACGGTAAAGTATCAATTGTTCAAATTTGTGAATGAATACTAGTGGAACTAACAATAATATTAATTTTCTAGTACTGATAATTCTAAGCGGAATTGAAGCCGAAAGAATAATGCAATGTTAGTAAAATCGGGATCAAAAAGGATGAATGTTAGGTAAGGCATTAACAGTTGTATCAGCTTAAAAGAAAATGTTATTGAAATGGAGTTAAAAAGGTATTCTAAATAGGAAATCCTAATTGAATCGGAGTTAAGAAAGATGAAACAAGTCATTTATTAATTTGTCGAAATGAGAAACTATAACAAAACGATGTGTATTACTCTGCTTAAATGAAAAATAATCGAATTAAAGTTTAACACTAATGTAATGCTTTTATTATTAGAATCTGACAAAACAAAAAATTGTAGAAATAAATAAAACATTTAAATAAAAACTGCAACTATTGTTTTATAATAATAAATATAAAATAAAAGATGTTAATTTGAAGTAATATATTGATTATACGTATGTTAATTTTAATGTTAATGTTTTTAATACTGGCTATTTTATGAATCTTAAAGTCCGAAATTGGAATATTTGATAGTTATCTTATACGTATTATTTCGGGACGCGCATGAACGTTATTTTGAGACCATATTTACCATTTTTAGGGGTATGATTTTCGAATTCCGCGAATGTAAAATTCATGGTAACAAAGCAGGTTTTACGTATTAACTTGTTTGATCAAGCATAATTATTATTATATTTGTATAAACTGAGTTCGATAACCGGTTTCACGTATATGGTTCGATATGGTTCGAAACAGTGTTCCAACGAGTTTTGCATAAATTAACCGGTTGGAACAGGATAGTTCTAATGCATGCTTTAATTATGTCGTGCATTATTAAAGTTTTTTGGAATACGTAAACCAAATATAGTGCAAATCATCTAAAGACATTCAAAATCGTAACTCCTCGATGAATACAGTCAGACCTCTCTAAATGCATAGCAAAGGGATGGCCAAAAAATCTTGCATTTAGGGAGGTAAAAATCTATAAGTGTTATATGAGTTGGGGCCAAAAGGCCAATCATTTAGAGTGGCCTTTCATAGACTTAAGTATTTAGGGAGATCTGGCTGTATTTAGAAATTCGCAAAAAAAGCGTAGCTTTATAGTCCTAGATAAGATTTACAAAGTTACGCTTTTTTTGAGAAATTTAACTTATTCGTCGAGAAGATTTTTTAAAAAAACAGCCGAAATTTTCGAAGATTAATAATTGATTACATAATGATGCAGATTTGCAATTCACAAGATGTTTCTAAATTAATTGTACAATTCATCGTTATAATCAATGCAAGTAAGTATGCACCTCATTTGGAATACATTCTACGTAACACGAAGTGAATTTACATCCCTTATTTTCGTTCAGTACCATAGGTATGTATCCGAGACATGCTCAGAGCGAAGTAAAAACGAAGCGGTTGATCAAGATCAAAAAAAGCTCAATACAATATAACACGCGAGTATACTTGTTAGCAAACTAAATTTCTTAAAATCCCACCCAAATCTAAATCCCAAACATAATAAAATTGTTCCAAATCCAAAATTCAAATCCAAAATCCCCAAACATAATAAAATTTGTCCCAAATCCCCAAACATAATAAAATTCGTTCCAAACCCCCAATCACAAATCCCAAATCCAACGCATCCAAATCCGTGAAGCATTCCTTTTTAAGCCATTTGTAGATGACAACCAAAATTATACGTAGATAGCACAGTACGATTTATGAAGAATACTGTGGTTGGTGTATTTAGTTTGTTTATTTATAAGCGCATAAAAACAAATTCGACCGCCTGTAGAATTTCCACAATAAAATAGTTTTTTAAGTAATCAAATGTTTTTTCATGTACATACGATGAAGCAGCTGCTATTGTTATTTTGTTTGCAGGCACAACCTAGACACAACCAGATATTATAATATAAATTCGGATTAAAATCCGAAGCATATTTTTATTAATTAAATTTAATGCGGATTTGAAAACGAAAACCGGTTCCAAACTCTAGGTGTATTCGATTATTTGGAATTATGAGTATGTTCTCTATATAATTAAGTAGCATATTAAAATTAATATTTCTTAATTTATCGACTTCAATAACAATAAAGTATTTTATGTAAACAATTTATATATAATTTGATTTCTTGCAATTTAGTACCGTA